ACAAATGGCTAACGTTATAAGACAGTATTATCAAGGTTTGCCATGTAGAGACGAGATTCGTAATTTTTACCCCATTAACCCCATGAAATAATACATTTATGTCTTTTTAGAAGGTCCTTCTGTTAAAATGTGACGATTTGTAATATTTACTGATTTAGTTTATAACTGTTATTGAGTTGCATTCTCATGAAGTTGTATCTTTGTTATGTCTTAATTTACTTTGGATGCAAATCATTAATAAACAAGTTAAAAAGCAAAAAAAAGAAAGAAGAAGAAGCGACAGTTAGAACCGGATATGGAACAATTGATTGGTTTAGCATAGGAAAAGGAGTACGACAAGGATGTATATTGTCACCTTGCTTATTTAATATATATGCAGAGTACACCATGTGAAATGCTGGCCTGGATGAATCACAAGCGGGAATTAAGACTGCTGGGAGAAAGATCAACAACCTTAGATATGCAGACGATACCATTCTAATGGCAGAAAGTGAAGAGGACCTAAAGAGCCTCTTGCTCAGAGTGAAAGACGAGAGTGCAAAAGTGGGCTTGAAGCTCAACATCAAAAAAAACTAAGATCATGGCATCTGGTCCCATCACTCCTTGGCAAATACAAGGGGAAGTCGTGGAAGTAGTGACAGACTTCACGTTCCTGGGATCCCAGATCACCGCAGACTGTGACAGCAGCCATGAAATTAAAAGACGCCTGCTCCTTGGGCGGAAAGCGATGGCGAACCTAAGGAGCATGATAAAAGATAGAGACATCACCCTGCCAACAAAAATCCGCATGGTCAAAGCAATGGTATTCCCAGTAGTCATGTATGGCTGCGAGAGTTGGACTATAAGGAAGGCCGAGCGCCAAAGAATAGATTATTTTGCACTATGGTGCTGGAGAAGACTCTTGAGAGTCCCTTGGACTGCAAAAAGATCAAATCAGTCAATCCTCAAAGAAATCAACCCTGACTGTTCCCTGGAAGGCCAGATAATGAAACTGAAGCTCAAATACTTTGGCCACCAAATGAGAAGGGAGCACTCACTGGAGAAGACCCTGATGCTGGGAAAGATTGAAGGTCAAAGAAGACGGGGACGGCAAAGGATGAGATGGTTAGACAGTGTCATAGATGCAACGAACATGAAGTTGAGCAAACCTCAGAGGACGGCGGAAGACAGGAAGGCCTGGCGTGATCTGGTCCATGGGGTTGCGAAGAGTCGGACTCGACTGTGCGACTGAACAACAAAGCGGATCCAAAGCTTATTTTAGTGAGCGTTGGGCTTCTGTTTGACAGAGTGGTATGATAGTACATATTTAATTTTAATGATATGTGGCCAGTTTCAACATAATATTTTTTTTGGATTCTTTTACATGAGTGTTTGACATAATCCTTGTCCATGGATAAGAACAACTTGGATGGTCTTATCCTGTGTTTCTGTTCAAGTGACTGCCCACCTGAGACCACTACCACTGTCTAGCCGGGATCTGCTGCATGTGCAATAATAGAGGTAGGTTCAAGTCCAGTAGGACCTCAGAGACCAACAAGATTTTCAGGATATTATTTTTTGAGAATCAAAGCTCCCTTTGTCAGATACAGTAACTGATGAAGGGAACTTTGTCTCTCTCGAAAACTTATACCCCAAAAATCTTGTTGGTCTCTAAGGTTCTACTGGACTTCTATCTAGTTCTTCTATTGCAGGTCAACATGGCTACCTTTCTGGAACATAATAGAACTAAAATGTTTAAAAGCCAACTGATCCTAGATATTATTAATACAACTAAAAATCCTTTTTTGGATCAGCAAGTGTTCATGCCTTCCCAAACCTAGTCCAGTGAAGCATATAAACTTTCCCCTCCGAATTGCCAGGTCCAGAATCTCCTTTAGCAACTCTCTGAACCCCCTTTTCCTGTACAGTGTTCAAGGGTGATATTCTTAGATATGAACAAATTCTACTGGCTACATTCCATCATCATTTTTCTGATTATCTGCACAGAACATTCCATTTTGGCCTTTCATCCTTCTCTTTAGTTCCCCCCCCCCCCCGCATTTTGTCCTAAAATTGTATTTGAATAAGTATTACAAAATATGACATATTTTACCTCTGAAACTATCTTTACTGCACTATTCAATATGATATTTCATTATGTGTTCGACTGAATGAGCATTGCAGTCATATAGTGTTCCCCAAGGTATGTGGCTTATTTGGGTAGAGTGAGATGGGAGGCATGAAATACTGGCCTCGGAAATAAGCTGCTGCTCCCCTGGTTACATAGCATAACAAGCTTCTATATGTTCTGGCATTGCATCAAAACATGTACAAATAAATACATAACAAAATATATATTAGATAATTTTGTAGCCAGGTAAATAAGAGTAGCAAAAGGGAAATATGCAGTCTCTGTTGCATTGGCAGTTAAATCAGTGGAGAAAGTCAGAGGTAAAAAATATCATGAGCATCCCTTGGAATCTTTTTCCTCCCATGCACAGTAAAAGTGCTCTGCCTATCCCCTCGCAAGAGGAATCCACAGCAACCAAACCTCACCCAATTGAGAATGCCATGGTAGCCCCAAGTTTAGCAGGACCCTCTTACCCTTTTCTCTTGAGCAGTCCTATATAGCAGGCAGATAAGAGGGCCAACTGCCCAGGTGTCCTCCTGCAGAGCTTGCTCCTGAAAGATGAAGGCAGGCTGAGAGGGAAACCAGGCACCCAAAGAAGATGTCAGCTGTCAGCACTAGACATCAGAAGCTTAGAATGACTGGAAGCATCAAGCTGGCTGGCTGAAGAGTCATGACTGGGGTGTGCCCAAAAATGTGGGGGTATACTGATTGGGGTGGTAGGCGCTTACTTTATATGTAATGCTGGTTAACCAAGAATTCTAGATAATCAAGTGCTGGATCCCAGGGATAAGAAAAAGTACATAGACAAACATAGTCTATGTGGGCTACTGTCCAAAGTGAATTATATGCTGGTAGATCTATATAAAGATTAATAAAGTAACAACAATAGGCCTCAGACTGACCCAACAGTGCCATCTGAGCATAAACTTTTCAAATCAATGAGTACTATTCAATTGCTTGTTTCATTCCCCAAATATGATCAAAATGATTCTTACTTGGGATTACTCCCAAATGATTAATTTCCTTGGTGTGAAATAGTTTTGTTTTCTTTTTCTTCAGCAGCCAGTCATTTTCATTCAGGTTCTAAGAGGCATATTGCAATGCATATAAAAGCTGAACAAATTGGTAGAAAGATAATTTGATAATTTAACATCAACTAATAGTATATTGCTTTATATGAGATTTGCTGTTCCCAGAAAAAAATTAAGATGATGTTTCTATTTAGTTGATTGTTGTTTTACAGTTTCTTCTATCTATAGAATTACTTTATTAATTTGATGTTTAATATAATGAGTTTTCCATCACATGCTGGGGCAGGGGGGGGGGCTGAGACCTTGTATGCCATGTTTGCTATGAGTTTGTGTTTTACAGGTGATTTATATGCCTCTAAAAACAGGAGACTGGGGTAATGGAAATGGTGTTAGAACCTTAAGCATAATGGTGAATGTCTGTCAGCAAGCTGCCAAATGTTGTGATTATAGTGATGTCTGGTGTATGCACTCTGCACACGCTTTGTTCCTGTGGATTGTAACCTGTGTAATTCCCTCCTGCTTTGTGAATTGTTTTCCCCCTCGCTTAGCAACCCAGACGCATGCTCAAACGTAGAGCTTGTTAGGGAACCATGCAACATTCAAGGCCGAGCAGGTGTGAGATAAGGAGAGCAACAGCTTTTTGTTTTAATTAGCAGAGCCTGAGAAAAGCTTAGTAAAGATAACTGAAGCGTTTTGGTTCTCAGCAGTTTGGCGCTTTGAATCCCCAAGTGGGAAATAGACTCATTGGTTTAGCAGCGTTTTGAAATCCATTTATATCTCTTGCCATGAGCCTTCCATCTATATATCTAATAGTCAAGTGGCCCCGTGAGTGTGGATCGCTAAATCAGCGCTCCGGGGCCACCTGGGGGGCAGGGGAAGGTTTGTGCACGCGTGGGCCAGTCCCCACGTGTGCACAAAAATACTAAAAGTTGGAAAAAAATTCGGGGGGATGTTTAAATCCCCCCGAAAGTGCAAGAGCGTCTCCTGCACGTGCGCAGGGGACGCTCTGGAACGTCGCCACCGCTGCCGGAGCCGGGGGGTGGGGAGAGAGAGAGAGAGTGCGAGGTGCCTCAGAGACGGTGAGGGGGGGAGAGAGCCGGAAAGAGACGGAGCCGAGGCCCGCGCAGCTTCCAAGCCGCGCGGCCCTCGGGTCGGAGCCGGTGGGGGGGCAAAAGAGAGAGGGGGCAGAAACAGAGAGAGAGACTGAGAGAAAGAGAGAGAGTGTGGCGAGAGGGGGGGCGAAAGAGAGAGAGAGTGGCGAGAGTGGGGGCGGAAAGTTCAATTATGATGGAAAGAGAGGTCAGACAAAGCAATGTAATTTTCTACCGGTGCAAATCTTACTAACAGGTACAGAACACATGGCATTTTGCATACAATTGATATATAGGCTTCCTGACAAAACATTCTGTTTGCACTCCCATCAAATGGCAATTGTTCCAATGAAAAGATTATGCAATGCGAGTATCGCGGGTCCCCGTCTTGTGTCATTCTAAACAGAAACCTTTCTAGTGACTCATTGATTCAATAAAATCCTCTTTTCTACAAGAATGACTACGTTGTTTTAATGGGACCTTGACAATGTCTGAATAACTGCTTAAGCCATATTTTAGTTGATATTCTGATCATGATAAAATGGCAGTGGAATGCTCACTGTGTCTGCTTTGAAAGGCCATGTTGGAACACCTGATAGTCATAAATAAATCCCTATGCAGGCATTATTATCAGTGATGATTTGCACTTCTTGTTTTGTATTTTTTAAACAGGTGGTGAAGTCACTAAACCCAGATTTGCTCAATATTTTCATGGCAGCCTTGCCAGCCTTACTATCCGACCAGGCAAAATTGAAAGTCAGAAAGTGATTTCCTGTTTGCAGGCCTGCAAGGAAGGTCTGGATATTAACTCCCTGGAAAGTCTTGGTCAAGGAATAAAGGTGAGGGATGAACTGACATTATCTTTGATAACATTTAAAGCTGATTTATAAAGTGGAGAGCAGAAGGCAGAGTACGAATGTACTCCCAAAAGCAATCTCATTTGCCATAAAGACATGCAAGTAAAGCATGGAACCAAAGGGAAGGTGTAACACTGCAAAGAATAATGCTTCCATTATTTCTAGTATAAACCTACAGAAACTAGATACCATGGATGTTTTTCCAGGTCATTTTCTCAATGTAACTAGTATTCTATACTGAAAGTGGTTCTCTTTCCATCAGATCCAGCACAGTTGGTGGGGGGCACTACTTGTGTCAAGGGGTATGTATGTGTTAGTCAACAGCTGAAAAATAACTATGATAAAAAAAATTTAAAGCAATGCTTGGATCCAGAAAGCAGCCATCCCCCAGCTGCACCATCCTTATGCCACATCCCATATAGTTCTGAATGGTTTCCTGGCCCACAGGAATGGGGGTAGAGTTGGAGGTTGCAAGGGACTCTACTAACATGTGCTTTGATCCAAACCAACAATGGCTGTAAACATGTAAAAGATTCTACCACTCTTACCTACAGTAAGTGTTAGAGAAAACTGCAAGATATGGAAGGTGGTCATTTCAATGCACATAGATAGAAAAAACTAAAACAAAATTATCCTTAACCAAAACTCTGATTTAAGTTCTTTCAAAATGGTGTGCATTCTTTGTGTTTGATTCTCTTTGTACACTCAGTCTGTGACAGTGCATAGAGAATGCATCTAATCATTTTCATGGAAGGTCTATGGATGTCACTGTAATCACTAATGAGATTCTTATATACATAATGTTATTATAAATGTTATGCAAAAGTGTAAAAGATATAGACTAAGAGGGAGCTGGTAACCAGTCATGTTGTCTGTAAAATTCCAAAGACCTAATATTGGATTTCTATAAATGTAATAATATCCAAAATTAAACAAATTTTTTAAAGTATCCTCAGCAGTCACCTTTATATTGGAATGGTGGAAGCACTTAATCTGTCTCCATATATAAGAAAAATATAACAGCTGAGATCATACTTATTCAACAAAAATTAGAATAACTTCGTAGAAATATCTGGCTGGAAGAAAATGTGTATAAGTAGATAAGTTATTTATTAAAAATTTCTCATGCTCTCTGCCAGCCCTTGTGTCTCCCATGATCAATAGAAAACCAGTTTCTATGTTACTGTTGTCCTGTTTGAAGCCTACTATTCTTTGAAGCCTGTTTAAGGAATGCCAGGGTTGCTTGTCTTCAGTTTTGCCTCCAACAGCTGATCCAGTATGGACAAGAAGCTGTCTGTGTGATCTAGCTGTGGGATGGGAAAAAATGAATGCAAGAGTTTAATTTTTTTTTTAGCTTCAAAACGTTTTCAATCTCAGATCTACAACCTGGTAGGGTGCAACTCTCTTCTTTCATTTTTACCTTTTCAGCTGTTTTGAGAGTCAGTGACAGCATGAGGCCAAAATGAAAGAAGCTGTCAGAGAGAGGTCTCATGCAGTGCTTTCCTAGTTGGCCTGACAGTGACAGGTCTTGATGAAAGAACCACAGTTGCCCTTGGAGTGGAACAGAACATTAATTTAGCCAGATTGTTGCTGATTTTCAAAAATAGCTATATACAAATTGTACTTCCACATGAAATTGTACACTGATCATGAATGCACAATAGTAGTCTCTAAAAAAAATGACATTAAGAGTGCACTGATAATAGCCAATTTAAATAGTCAACAGATAGTCAATCTGTCTGTCTTAATAGTGTATCTGATTTGTATCATAATATGCATCTGTTATAATTTCAATAAACTCAACAACAAACAAAGAATGAATTTTTACAATTGCTGCTTTTCTATCCTAAAGAGGTGACAAATTAAAACTCAAAAAGACATGTCCACATGGATGCCATAGCATAAACAGACTTACACTGTCATACAGAAAAGGGCAACTTGAATGATAAAGGGGCTGGAACACTTTCCCTATGAGGAAAGGTTAAGGCGCTTGGGGCTCTTTAGCTTGGAGAAACGATGACTGAGGGGTGACATGATTGAGGTTTATAAGATTATGCATGGGAAAGAGCAGGTAGAGAAAGAGGTACTTTTCTCCCTTTCTCACAATACAAGAACTCGTGGGCACTCCATGAAATTGCTGAGCAGTCGGGTTAGAACGGATAAAAGGAAGTACTTCTTCACCCAAAGAGTGATTAACACTTGGAATTCACTGCCACAGGAAGTGGTGGCGGCTACAAGCATGGACGGCTTCAAAAGGGAATTAGATAAGCATATGGAGCAGAGGTCCATCAGTGGCTATTAGCCACAAGGTATAGATAGGGACTCTGGGGCAAGTGATGCTGTCATCTTGGTGCTTGGGGGGGGGGTCAACAGTGGGAGGGCTTCTAATGTCCTGGCCCCACTGGTGGACCTCCTGATGGCACTGGTATTTCTGGCCACTGTGTGATACAGAGTGTTGGACTGGATGGGCCTTTGGCCTGATCCAACATTGGCATTTCTTATGCTCTTATACAGTGCCATCCCAAGCAGAGTTACATCCTTCTAAGCCTGCTTGGGGTAGCACTAGTGGTTGCCTTCTTTGCTCACTTCAGGACAGCCCTTGGAAGCCAACTATGCCACTTCCACAGCCCATGCAGGTTCAAGAGCCTTTGGACCCATCTGCTCTAGCTGTGGTGAGGTAAACCTATTCAGTCTGAAGCACCAGACATCTGGGCTGCAGAGATTTGGGGCCAAACTACATGTTACATTTTTGACAGGTTGGGTCCAGGTTGCCTGGCTTGGGTTTCCCAGACCCAACTTGCTTTCTTTGCAATCACACAGCAGCTGCAGAGAAAGGCATTTTACGATTCCCCAGCAGACCAACTGGACTTTGGATGACAGTGTGGAGTGAGCAGGAACTCCTGCCTTTTCTGCCTGTGCCACTTTCATGAGAGAAACTTGTTCAAAACTGTAATGTATCAAAATAATGAAATGCCTCACCTAGTCCAGTTATAGTTGGATAGATATACCATACCAACCTGGCTGGTTGTAAAAAATGTGAGTTTATACATATGGATGGTGCCACGTTCTGAACGGTCCAGTTGGAAGTTTCACAGTCGACTAAGAGTTTGTTTATTGCTGGTAGCCAAAGGCAGTTACAATTTTAACACAAGAAATGACAGAAATTAAAGGGAAAAGTACAAGAACTAAGCAGAACCCAAAACATCATCATCATCATCATCATCATCATCATCATCATCATCATCATTAACAACAAGAAAAACAACAATAATATTGTACTTAAAACTGTGTCCAGCTGATATGGGTTTCAAGTTGACATGCTCCCTAGTAATGCAGACAATGCTGTAACAGCATTTCTCCATAATTTAAAAAGCCCTGCTAAAGGTACAGTTAGCTCTGCATGGGAGAAGACTCCATGCAAGACAACTGCTTGAACCTATCCCTATCTGCACAGCAAATTGTATCTTCAAAGGTGCTATTTAAATCCTGGAAGAAACTTTTTTGTGTGTGCAAAATTTATATCCAGACTTTCTGCCTTCACAAGGGCCACCAAGGCAGCTATAATTTTTTTTTAAAAAAAATCACATTTTAAAATCATTAAAACCAAAAAGGACGTCTACACATGATTAAAACAAATGAAATAAGAGCTGAAATATATACGAAAACATAAAAAACAATAGTAAAATCTTTGGGCAGGAAGAAGGGATACTGAGGGAAGGCCAAACATAACAAAAAAGTCTTCATCTGCTGACAGAAGAAGGCAACAGAAGGGAACAGACAAATCTCCATGGAGAGGGAGTTCCACAGTTTTGGTGCCATGACCAAGCCCTTCTCCTGGTTTGCCTCCCACCTTAGAAGGTGGGGACACCCAAAGCAGGGCCTTCAAAGATGACCGTAGTGGTCAGGTAGATTTATAAGGGAGTAGGTGGCCCTTCAGACACATCCTCTTGTGAATTAATCATCTTTTTCCCCGGTGATCATCCCATTTTTTTAATAGGGATGCCAGTCCCCAGGTGGGGGCAGGAGATCCCCGATTTTGCAGGCTCCTGCCCACCACTGGCCAGCTGATTGGCGGGGAAAAGCCCTGCCCCCAACGGCGAACATGCATGGCCACCCCTCTCCCTCCCTTCCTGTGAGATTTAAAGGGCCCTCCAGCTGATTGGCAGGAACACGTGGGTCCCTTTAAATGCTTTTTGAGGAGCAGGGGCCTCACATGCCTGAATTCCAAGGGGTGAATTTGCTGTTTGTAGTTCAGGCATGCAAAGCCCTGGCTTGCTTGGAATTCAGGCCTGTGAGGCCCCCGCTCCTCAAAAGACTTTTAAAGAAAAGGTTCCCTTTAAATTGTTCTTGCAAGCTGATGCAGAGGGCACCTTCCATGGGCCCATGTCCACAACGTGATGATGTCACTTCTGCATGATGTCATCTCACTGGGGACATCCCCGCCCCCTCCAGGAATGCCCCCAAAGTCCCCCACGAGGGAGGAGGCAGGACCTGGCAACCCTCATTATTAAAGCAGCCACATGAGGCTAATTAAAAACTATGGATAATTCCTATAGCAGATCTTTCATATTTCATTCAGCTTGGCCTGTAGGAAAAGAAGTTGGCCCTGCCTTATGGCCCATAGCACAAGCTTCAGTCCAGTTAAACTTTCAGCCTTTCTTCCCAGTTAGTGCCTTAGGAAAATAAATAAAATACTTGTAGTCTTCCTCTCACTTCTGAAAATACAGCCTGGTCTGCAACGCAGTAGAATGAAGTGGTGGAATCCTGATGTAGTACAGTGGACTATACTGGTTGAGATTACACATGAGTTATACTATTTTTAATGGTCTCCTACATTAATTAAGAATTTGCATGTTAAAAAAACAAACAGGTTGTAGCCTACCTTGTTTACGACTGCATAAGTTTTCTCTCTTATAGGGAGTGGTTTTATGTTGATTCAAAAACAGTATCCCCCAGTTGCAGTCTCATGTAGTACAATCCGTCCTCATCATATCAAAATTTCTATTGCTTTGTTCTGGTACCTATACTACAAGGTCAGTACCAAGACTGTGATCTGGTTGACCAGGATCTGATTTGCCTGGTAGTATATGAAAGCATGCTTCCAATTAAAACAAGGAACTATAACTAAAGTAACCCTATGGAAAATATATTAATGTCCTGCATTAAGCAGGATATTTTTGTGGATCATGCAGAGATATACTGACCCTCATATGTCATCATAATGAGCTGCAGTTACAGCTAAAGCACAATAGTTAAATATGAACAGTAGGGAAAATCATCTCAATACACAGCAGCTGCACTGACTTTTAATTTTCTTTTTCTGTTAATTATAGCTACAATAACTACTAAAATGTGTGGTAGATTAGTGCCTGGTGGGTGCTTGTTCTTAAAAGGCTTTTATGTACAGAGCAAATATTAGCTAATAAAATTACAGTTTTTCTTTACTTTATTAGGAATTTAACCAGTCTTTAAGAAGCATTCTTTAGAAATCTGTTATTCTAAGCATTTTTTCTGTATATCATCCCCAAGTACTAATTTTATAATCCCCCCACCAGTATCACTTCAATCCTTCTCAATCAGTACTTGTTATGGAAGGAGATGACATTGAGAATATAAATCAAGCTCTCCAAAAGGTCTCCTATATCAACTCAAGACAGTTTCCTACTTCAGGCATTCGCCGTCTTAAAGTCTCATCTAAAGTCCAGTAAGTTAAATTCATTAAGGTTGATTAATCCATCAATACTTTGGTAAATTTCATGTTACTTTGAGTTTTTAATAATGAAATATAAATATCCATCAAAGTTGGGCATTTACTTAATTGCCTAATTTGTTTTTGGGGTTTTTTTAAGAATTGCATTTAGTTTCAGAAAGAAATAATTTCAGCTATGGAGTCATTTCCTAATTCCTGCATGCCCATTGACTTCAGATAGAGTTCTGGGTGTGCATGAAATGGGATCCTGGTGCATTCAGTGTAAAGAGATGATTAGGTTCTTGATGCACTTTTAACAAGATAGCTGTATCAAGCCTCTTAAGTATCAGTTTGAGTACCTAATGTAAAATGTATAACAATTAGAAACCATCTAAACGCCTTTTAACTACTGACTGTTTGTTATATGTTCTTTAAGGGTTTGAATCTATGTGCAGTGGCCTTGCCAAAGATCCATGCCTGACAATGATATGCTTAGCTAGTGGTAATAAATGTGCTCCTCATGTTTACTTTGGCCTCAGAACAGTTCCATAGCTGATCAATGAGCAGGCACAAAAAGGGAAATATCCTAGGGGAAAAAATTTATCCTCTGGATGAACTGTTGTTCTTTAGATTTTGTATTTCCAGAAAAGGGAAGAATCTGTGTTAAAGCCTCTTCCATGAAGTTAATAAATAATATATTTTTCAGATGTTTTGGTGAAGATATCTGCATTAGTATCCCAGATATAGATGCCTATGTAATGGTGTTTCAGGCCAAGGAGCCCAAGATTACAATAAATGGAATGGATCATTTTGCGAGACCAGCTACACAATTTGAAAATGAGAGAGGTGTGAATCTCTTACCAGATATCAGAATTGTCAGCACAGTCACCAAAATGGAACATCCTCCTGACTTGAAAGAAACTACAGATAGAGGTTTGTAGGTTTTGTTTTAAGATTAGTTTTGGCTTCTGTGACAGCAGTGACTCAGCCACAGGGATCAAAGTAAAGAATGATACCGTGCTGAGAAGTTTCTCTATTGTATGTTTAATATTAAGAAGTAAACCCAGCTAAGATTGCTCCAGGTGTGATTGGAGTTATGTAGTCTTCTATAATCCAATAAAAGATGCTTCTACGAAGGAAGGTTAGAAATAAGTATGCTGAAATGCAATTGGTTCTGCAGGCAAATGTTCTTCACCTTTTGTAGACTTACTATATATACAATATATTTTGTAGACTTGGAATATATTGTAAACTTACAGTATATTTACTGATGCATTAATATCCCACCCTTCAACAAAGAATTGTTCCTAGGCAGGTTCAAAACGTTAATTACAGAACACACAATATAGTGGATAATAATAATAATAATAGCCACAGGAGACCTGTTGCAATAATGGCAAACAAATCTTATCTGTTTTTCCAGTTGTCAAATAATACCTTTTGGTTGAAGAAGAATATTAATGAGAGCATATATAATCACATAGATCCATACAAATTAAAGTGTGCATGTAACAGTCTATAATCTTTCAGTGATAATATCTTTAATCTATCAACAAAAGATTGTCTATGCATTATTGTTGTCTCATAGTTATCCAGTTGACTGCCTTAGAGGATAAGTGTAGTATCTTATTATAATAAATGTGTAAAAAAAGAAAGAAAGGAAGATGCACAAATGCAGATAGAAAGTAGCACTTTTGGAGATATATCAAGAGATTGTGTGGGATAATAGACCACTGTGACTATCATGGAGGACAATAGAGGCTAGCCAGCAGTACCATGCCACTTCTATTCTGAGGTCCCTTAACTGGCTGCCATTAGTTTCCATATCCATTTCATGGTGTTGGTGCTCACCTTCAAATGTCTTCATGACCTGGAGGTCACATAGTTGAAGGACTGCCTTTCTCTCCACGTTGTTGTGTGGCGGCTTTTCACTTCCCAGCAAGGTCTACACAGCCTTTGTCCAAGGGACCATAGGCAACAATCTGGCTCAAGCCAAGCCTTTTAATTGGGTGCCCTACGTCTCTGGAACAGTATACCAGAAAAGGTCAGGGGACTCCTACCCTCCTGGCTATCTAGTGAGGCTGAAAAACAGAACAGGTCCTAAGAGCTTTGGGGGCAGCCTAAAGCTGGACAAAGGGGAAACCCCCTGCTGATGTGTTTAGATTGGTTCTTGTATATGTTGTTTTAATGGGTGTTTTATTAAATAATTTTCATACAGTTTACCTATCTTGGCTCCTGAGATCCTCAGGAGAAAGGTGGCATATAAATATTTTTAAAGTGCCCCAGGAGCCCCCACCAGCCAGGTGAGTACTCCTGGCAACCCTAACATGGAGGTGCAACTGCTGAGCAGAAGGACTGACCCAAGTATTGAGGTGCCTCCTGTTCTGGATGGGATTGCATTCCTCTTACAGGAGTAGGCTTACAAGCTTGGGGGTGCTGATGGACTTGGAGCACCTGTTGGATAAGCAGTGGTGGTCAGGAGCACCTTTCACTGGCTTCAACTTTTCCTGGGGAGAAAAGATCCTGCCACTAGGGTGCATGTCCTGGTAACAACTTGTATAGGTTCCTGCAGTGCATAGTGTTTTGGGGGTGGAGCCTATAGAGGGTAGGGTTTAGGAATGGAAGGGACCTCAGCAGGGTACAATGTCATAAAGTTCACCTTCCAAAGCAGCCATTTTCTCCAGGGAAATGGCTCTCTGTAGCCCAGAGATCAGTTGTAAATGTGGGAGGTCTCCAGGCCTCACCTGGAGATTGGCAACCCTAGCAATGCACTTTACCTGGGTCTGCCTTTGAAGAGGGTCTGGAAAGCAGAGGTCATTTCGGGGGGGATCGCGGGGGATCTCAGTTCCCCCGGGTGAGGCACGGGGGGCGGGGCACATGACGAAGCCCCGCCCCCTGCTTCCGGCCGCCCCGCTTCCAGCCCTCATTCAGCCAGGAGGAGGCAGGAGAAGAGGGAGGGTAAGTTGCTTCCTCCCTGCCTCTCCCCCCCCCTGCCTGCCTGGGGCCAGGGAGGGCCTTCGCGGGGCTTCCTTGCACTCCCGCCGGCCGGGACCGTTGGGGGCGGGGGGTGTGGCCTTATGACACACTTCCGGTGATGTCAGGGGGTGTGGCATATGCTAATGAGTTATGCTAATAAGTTCCCCTAGCTCTTTTTCTACGAAACGACCCCTGCTGGAAAGTATAACTTGTACAGAATGCTTCAACAAGGAGGTTGACTGGAATAGATCGTAGGGGCCATGTCCCTTCAGTCTTGTTCTATCTACACTGGCTTCCAATTTGCTTCCAAGCAATTCAAAGTGCTGGTATTGACCTTTAAAACCCTATATGGTTTGGGACCAGCACACCTGAAGTATCGCTTTCTCCCATAGGAAGCTACTCAACCATTAAGGTCATATTTGAAAGCACTGCTTCAGGTTTCTCTGTTACCTGAGGGTCAAGGGGTGGCAACCTGGGAAAGGGCCTTCTCGGCCATGGCACCAACACTGTGGATTTCCTTCCCCAGTGTGAATTGTTTGTCCCTGTGTATCAGTACCTTCTGCTAGTGGGTGAAAATCTTTTAATTTCATTTAGCATTTCCTTACTGGCCCGCCTTCATTTCTATGTTTTAATAGTCGCTTTGTTTGTGTGCGTTGTTTTTAAAGTTGACTATTAATCTTTTAAAACTGTTTACAGCCTTGATGGCACTAATTGAGTGGAAAGACAGGATTAAGTGTTTTAAATGAACAGTTTATCGCCTCCTCTTTGATTTTATAGGCTAAACATGAGTTTGCCCATCCTCTGAAACTGATTGAGGGTTTCCTCCTCTTAGTACCTGCATTAACAAGAGTTACACAACAGTTTTATTATCTTATCCTGTTTCATTGCTGCAGTTTTATCTGTTGATGGTCTTTGACATTTTATTGATTGTATTATACTATCATGTTATTGTCTATATAATACGCCACCCTGAATATAGTTAAATAAAGAGGCAGTAAAGGTAAAGGTAAAGGTTCCCTTGCTCGAAAGCCAGTCGAATCCGACTCTAGGGTTGCGGTGCTCATCTCTGTTTCAAAGCCGAAGAGCCAGCACTGTCCAAAGACGTTTCCGTGGTCATGTGGCCGGCATGACTAAACACCAAGGTGCACGGAACACTGTTACCTTCCCACTGGAGTGGTACCTATTTATCTACTTGCAATTTCTTGCTTTTAAACTGCTAGGTTGGCAGGAGCTGGAACTAGAGACAGGAGCTCACCCTGTCTTGTGGCACCCGGGTCTCGAACTACTGAACTACTGGCCTTCCACAGCCTGCAGTTCAGCGTCTTAACCACTTGAGCCACCGCAGCTCAAGAGGCAGTATATGATTTTAAATAAATGAGTGAATAAATACTAGCAGAAAAGCAGTACAATTAAACAGCAGCATCATGAGAAACAAAAATGAAATACAAGGGAGTCATAAAGGACAGGTGCGGGAGTAAGTTTGGTTCCCCCCCCCCCCGAGATCTCAAGTGACCAAAAGAAAGGAGTCTTGTGTTTTACAAAAAAAAGAGAAAAGAGGTGCATAGGCATGAAGATTTAAATAGTTCCCAACACACCTCTCTTCTTTGGTGTAGTGGTTAAGAGCGGCAGACTCTAAACTGGAGAACTGGGTTTGATTCCTCACACCTCCACATACAGCCAGCTGGGTCACCTCTCTCAGCTCCACCTACCTCACAAGGTGTCTGTTGTGGGGAGAGGAAGGGAAGGAGATTGTAAGCTGCTCTGAGACCCTGAGTGCAAGGCAGGGTATAAATATAATCTCCTCCTCCTCCTCCTCTTCTTCTCCTTCTTCCTATTCCTTTTCCACCTCCTCCTTCTCCTCCTCTTCTTTTTATTTGTCTTCCTCCTCCTCCTCCTCCTCTTCTTCCTCTTCCTCTCTGATTTTTGCCCTAGCTTGGCAAAATTGGTGAGTGCCCAAGAAAACAAATGATTTTCCATCTGAGTTATATACAGGATGGCACAAGATTTCATTCCCCCTTCATGTACACTTGTGATTTGCTTAAAAAGAGACCCTCCCCCCCACTTACTTCACACAGGAAAGGGAGGGACTGCCTGTCTTGTAGACCTATCAGGGCAAGTAGTGTTGTTTCAGCAAAAAGCTGCTACTGTTGTGCTTTCTAATGATATTGACATAATTCAGATTCTGAATCAGTAGTTCTCTTATTAAGAGAGATAATTTGATCCTTCCTTATCATTGATCTCTTACATTTTATCTGGTTTGGAGTCTGTGTATTAACCTATATCACACACTTTAGTCTATATCACACACATCTGTGTATCAACAGGACTCTGCCAGCATCAGCCAAGGAATATTAATGTATTTGAAGGACTTAGTGCACATATGAGTCATACCTGAATCTGAAAATTAATCACTCTATGATCAGTTAAAGCAAAGCTGGGTATGCTTTTTATGGTTTCCTGGATCATCTTATATTCTCATAGCAAAATAGGCCAGTCCTTGGATATTTAAATCTGGTGATTGGAGCTGTTAATACATTGGGGAATTTTAAAAAGCTGAAAACAATAAAAGGGGCTCCTGTGGTTTTAAGCTACAGATTCCGTCAGTGGCTGCTGCTAGGCAACCACAGTATTCCAAGCTGGTTTTCTCTGAGTTAAAGGCAGGGGGAGGGGGCAGTGCCCTTTCCAGGCCTATTTTGCCCTTTGACTAATTAGGGACAGGCCTGACTAGGGTCGCCAGCTCCAAAGTGGGAAGTTTCTGGAAATTTTGGGAAGGAGACTGAGGAGGTCAGGGTTTGGGGAGGGGAGAGGCCTCAGCCAGAGAGTCACCTTCCAAACAAGCCATTTTCTCCAGATGGACAGATCTCTGTCATCTTGAATTCAGTTTTAAGTCTGGGAGATCTCCAGGTCCCACCTGGAGGTTGGCAACTCTAGGCCTAGCAGCAACCACTGGCTGACTTGATACCACCTGACTTGCATAACTCATCTAGGCTTGGCTGCTTGCTACTGTTCAACAGCAGCCATCCTGTGAAAGCCAGTGTGGTATAGTGGGGTTAGAGCTTTAGAATATAGTCTGGGAGAGTGAGGTTCAAATCCCCATCTTGCTGTGGAAGCTCCCTGCGTGATTTTGGACCAGACACATACTTTGAGACTAACCTACCCCACTGGGGTTTTGTACAGATAAAAAGGAGGAAAGGAGACTAACGTAAGCTGCTTTGGTCCCCACTGCAGAAAAGGGTGGGGTATAAATGAAGCCAATAAATAATAAATATATTTGAAAATGGGAGGCAAATAAAAGGTAGGTTGCTGAATGGCTGAGAAGGAGAGAATAAGGCAGGTAATGGAGGGGATATCCTCTCCTTCCCCAGGGGGAGGGAAAGGGCAAATAGTGTGTGGGGAATACAAGGGAAAGTCAGGCACCCCTCACAAATCCTTCAGGGTTCCCTACCATGCAAGTGGGCCTGACCCATGACTGGCACCACACAAGTTGGTCACAGTTTTCCTAGGTAGAGGCTGCCCGGGGGGGGGGGAGAGGGAAAGGTTAAGACAGAGTGGTAGATAAAGGTAGGTTGGCTGTTGGATGGGAAGAAGATAAGGTTGCCAGCTCCAGTTTAGGAAATTCCTAGAGATTAGGGGTTGGAGAGGAGAGGAGAGGAGCGACATCAGAGGGGTATAATGCCACAGACTCCATTCTCCAAAGTCCTCCATGGGGACTAGGCTTGCCAACCTCTCGGTGAGGACTATAGATCACCCAGAATTACAAATGCTCTCCAGATGACAGAGATCAGTTCCCCTGTGGAAAATTGCTGTTTTGGAGGGTGGATTCCATGGCATTATACTCTGCTGAGGTGCTTCCCTCCCCAAACCTCGACTTCCCAAGGCTCTTCCTCCAAATGTCCAGGAATTTCCCAACTTAGAGCTGGCTACCCAATTAGGAACTGATCTCTGTAGCTGGGAGATCCCTTATGATTCCAAGAGATCTCCATTGGCAACCCTAGAAGGAGAGAAGGAAACAGGAAAAGGGGAGAGGCTATGGGGGCTTTCAGGAAATGGAAAGAGGAAATAGTGGGGGAGGGAGAAATGAGATGCCTCTCACAAGTCCCTGCAGGTTCCCACTGTCAGCGTATTGGAAGCGCAAATAATGACTCAATACAGAGTTGGCTAGTGCTGAACTATTTACAGTGGTTTATTTACAGCAATATATACATACAGTCCATATAACATTTGCAGTATCCAATTCTCCAGGCAAACTGACGAAGTGCTTCACATATAATCCAATTCATAAGAGTGATGAAGAACACACAGACTGTACTGAATATATACGTCTCAGCACCAATCAGATTGAAGTGCTGACTCATGGTGACAGTAGTCAGGATGATGCAACCTATGCTCTGGTGACTTGTCACATGACACTCCATCTGTCACCACAGATCAAGATGATCTAATAGACTACCTTTACCTTGGCTGTCATCTTGCTTGCTATACATCATAGCATGCCATCACCCACTTGGCCTTCATAATGTTACAGATTATAAGAGACAAAGCAGGACCTGCATGGACCTTGTGGGAGTGGCCATCCCATTCTCCTTGCTTTTGATTCTCCCTCTCTCCCCCCACTACTTTTCACAGTCTCCCTCCACTACCACTTCTTACTTTCTGTATCTTTTCATCACTTTGGTGATTCCTCAATGCCTAGTGTCACTCGTCCTCTCTCTTTCTCTCTCCTTTTCCCTTCCCACAGACCTACTGTCACTCTCCCTTTCTCTCTTTCCCCAATGCCTACTGTTACTTTTCTGTCTCTCTTTCTAATAGAATGATAGAGTTGGAAGGGATCACTAGGGTCATCTAGTCCAGTCCCCTGCACAATGCAGGAAATTCACAACTACCTCCCCCCACACCCCTAGTGACCCCTGCTCCTCCCTTCCCCCATTCCTACTGTCACTCTCTTTCTCTTTCCCCCATGCCCACTGTCAGTCCTTCTTTCTTTCTTGGTCTGTCTATTTCTCCTCCTGTGCCTACTGTTACTCCTCTCTCTTTCTTTTCTCCCTCCCCAACCCCATCACTCTTTTTTCTCTTTTCATCTCCCCCATGCTTGGATTCTACCTTCTAGCTGAGCCTCCACTCCCCCCATCAAGTGAATGCAGCAGGGGGGAAAGAGTGGGTTCTATGGTGGGAGGCAGGGAGAGGTCCCACAGAGGGGGTAGCTCCTCCTCTGGCAGCATGGTAGGTGATGGTTGCAACTGCTAGCTCCTCCTCCCCTGCAAGGAGTGTTGCTGCCTCAGAGGTGGGTGTGGAGAAGCAGAGACGGCAAGGCTTATGCCGATGTTGTCAGTGGCCCCACCTGCAGTGCTGCTGCCTAACCACCTCAGAGGCTAACAAGGAGAGTTAGCAATGGCAGGACTCATGGCAGTTACTCCTCCCCCATCCACACCACTGTTGTTGCTCCCCCACCCTCAGCATTGCTGCCTCAACTGCCTCAGAAGCTGCTGAGGAGGCATGGTGGACAGCAGTGGTGGTTCTGTACAAGTGCAAAGAGGTTTGTTTTGGGGGGAGATTCCTCCCCTCTATTTTGGGTAAGATTTTTAGATTTTTCTACAAACCTGGGGGGTCCCATGTTTAAACATTATGCACACTCAGCAGAAAGCCACCATGGTAGAAGATTTCCTTGACCTCATGTAGGGGCATACATCAGCCCTCACTAACTATAGAATGAAGCTCCCAACACAGATTCCCTTTTTACAAAATGTATCATGAAACAGACCGTTAAAATCAGTTTTTCAGCCACTTGATGGCAAGTGGACCATTGAATTAAATAGAAAATCTTCATACTCTTTCTTCTGTGACAAGACAGCTGTTATCCTCATTGATGAAGAAGTGAATTTAAACTTCAGGTTTTACAACTGAAGAGAATTCAAAGTACTGTGGTATTTCTATTCATGGTCATGCAGTTCCACAGACCATAGGATCTATTCTGATTCTTTATGGGCCATAAAATAACTGAATTATTTGTACTGTCATGGAAGGAGGATTAATGTACTGTCCAGCTCAGTTGGTGTCAATGCACATACACAACGGAACAACAAAATTATCCATCTGTGAATTGGCTTCCAAGGTTAAGTGTCTGTGCTGTATTTCCAAAATAGTTTTGAGGGTTTTTATGGTGCTATTACATCTTACAGTTGCCTCAATATTTTATACCCTTATCAGTCTTGTGTTAAACTTTTAAACATGTGTTGTTTTAGGCAACATGTAAATAATTTTTTCAAGAACTGTTCTTTTAGAAAATGGGTACCTTTATGGTATATCACATAGCATAAATTGTTTTTCACCTTTGGGTTATCTTTTTTTCCCCCTTTCCTTAGTGCACAAGCCAGTTATGTTAGAGGAAATGCACCACAATTTGGATTT